CGAAAGACTTGAAGAAAGCGATGAGCTATGCTTAATTTTTGGTATAAGCGCTATTGTTTATCGGAAATAATAAAAGTAAACATTTACTCCATCGTTTAGAGAGAAGAAAGAGTAACATATAAGGAGAAAACGTCATTAGCAGCGGCCGCGGAAACGGAGTGCGTGTGGGGGGTGTACACCCCCTCCCCCACATTATTGAAAATTTTCAAGTTGTTTCAGCGACAACAGTAGATTTTCTCTATGTTTTACCTTTTTTTTGCGAAATTTCGTTGCAAATATTGCCTCTACTCCCTCCTAAAATTCTTCACACCGCCAAATCTTAGGTCGTTCGCGCGGCTACTGGTCATTACTCATATCATTAGTCAGTTTTTCAAATTTAATATCAGTTCTTTTTTTATTGTATTTGAAAATGACAAAAATCAACGTGTATATGAAGATAAACCCTAAATATTCTTTTAAACATAAGCAACATTTATTATAATAAATATTCATTTGTCTTTTTTTTACCATTCACTTCGTGTTAACCCTTTCAGTCCCATCGTATAAAAAAAGCTGCACATGTTTTATAATTATTTTTCACAACATAATTGATAAAAATTGGTACTTAATTTCTTAAAATGAAGAGATTAAGAATGTTCTAGAATTCTCTCCAACTATCTCTGAAGGCGATATATAGTCATTCATTGAGGAAATTCTAGAATGTTTTCAAATGCTCCTTATCTCTTTTACAGTAAGCTTATTTTTACTGAAAAACTTTTCGTAATCAATGAGAAAATAGTCCTTACTACAGTCTGTAAAAAGGTTGCGCGTCTGAAAGTCGAGGTAGTCGATTCTACTGCTGAAAGTCTCTGCATCCAATAGGCTTTGCCCTTTTGTTATATCATTTTTATAGAAAGTGTTACAATGTATGATAGATGTCAAAACAAAGTGCTGCGCATACGATGACATGTACGTTTTCGTGTGTGTAAACAGAATGAAATAAAACATGGATGGAATATTCACGTGTGATAGCGCCATATAATGACACTGATAAAAGAAAAGAACGGAAAGAGAATGCATAAGTATAAGCACCACAAGGATTATAAAACTTCCTTCCTTTTGAGATTTTTTCAGTCACACGATGGGCGAGCGTTGGACGTTTTGTATTCAAACGGCGTCTTTGATGCAAAACTTCTATCACCTCCAGTCTGTCTCTCGTTTATAATAGGCAGAACTCATTGTGTGCTTATATTAAATTGCACTCCCAGTACGATTTGACATCTGTATGAAAGGAGAAATGTCACCGCCTCATATATGAAATATCCGTCGTGAAAGGGTTAAAATCTACAATCTAGCAAAAACAACTCTATTATCAGTTTGGTTAGGTAATTTTGCTTGTTGTTGTTTTTATTGTTCAATTCGTTCACGTTTAGCTTAATGTTGTTTTATGTTACATGATTCATCTTCATCAACATTTCATCTTTCGCTTTAGTGTAAATAGCGATTAGCTGCTTCAGCTGCTGCTTGCCGATAAATCTTCTACAATAAAAGCATTCCACATTCGCAACATAAACATAAGAGAATCGTTTTATTTGTTTTTTTCTTTATTTTCCACAAGATAGAGTTGAAAAGAAAGAAGAAAACTGTTTTCTGTTATTCATTCATCGTGAAAAGCAAACATTTGTAACAAACTATTTATTAAATAATAATTATCGCCTACTTCAATTGGATTTTTCTATGTACCATCAATAATTGCAATAGGGGGTGTATGCGTGAAGTTTCACCAGGTCCATCCAACGACCACGTCCAAATCCCTTGAAAGTTTCAGAGTTTGTAGAGCTTTTAAGGCCGAGCATTTTCATAAGAAATCTGTTAAGATGTAATGCTTTTGGTATAGATTCTGGTCAGATACTATTTATACCTTTCTATGCAATAATAAAAACAGTAGCATATCAAAAAAGCGATGCTAATCCGTTATTATTCGGTCAAATTCAAAAGCCAATTACAGATTTAAATTTCTCGTGAAAAACTACACTAGTATTATTAAGAATTTCATGACTTTTCATGCATTTTGCATAGTCTTTCCTATGACCTACTTGTATGCCATCACAACGTGCTAATGAAAAAAAAGTGTTCGAAAAAGTCAATCAGAAAGTTGGAATGGCTAAAAATGGTGGTATTGTCACTTTGATAGAGCAGAACTTGCTGTATAGCATGCTCTAATTAGTGTTTTTCTCAACTTTGATTGTGAAAGAAACGAACATCAAAACTATTCTCGATTACAATCTTTTAGTGAGTTTTGATGAATATATTCGTCAAATCTGATCACTTACTGCGATGAGCATATGTCAACTCATTAAAACTTTCAAGACTTCTAGAGCTTGTTGCATTGATCATTTTGATATTAAATTATTCAATACTCTACTTTATTATCGCGAACAGATAAGTGAAATAATATAAATATACGTTGTGCCTGTATGATTATTATTCATTAAAAAAAAATACATTCTTCTTAACATTAGAATCTGTACGAAATATATGAACTTTCAAATAACACATGTAATGCCTATGTGATCGTATGTAATCATATCACTTAAATTACATACCTTTGTTACGCTATAAATATTAGGAGTAAAAAGTTTATCGTAGTCTTTGCAACAGCAGAAATACCAGTCTCACTAAACATACGGCAAATTCTTACGTATAATGTCGTTGCAGATAGAGAATGGAATTTAGAACCATTCTCTATGTTAAGTTTCATTCGGTACATTCTTGTTTGGTGAGATACACATGCATTCTGTTGCTGGAACTGCAATAAGCTTTTTGATTTTTGCCATTTCTAACATAATAAATGTACACAGCTGAAGAGATATAATCAGTTTCGATTGCAAATATACAAGTTTTATACATAAAAATATTTGTTGTAAATGCATTAGCTTCTTCGATGCGTGGATAAAACAGTATACGAACGTCTATCCGCGTATATTCTGACTTTCTGTTTTCGAGATCATTGCAACAGAAAATGACAAATTCCAATGCTTATGTCTAGTCAGCATTGGGATTTCAATAAACATAAGAACAAAAAAACAATGTCATCTAAAGCCGATCTTGTCTTGTCGAAAGTTTTCATTATTTCTCCTGTTCGTGACAGCTGACTGGAGATTAGCTCACTAATTTTAGTTATCTGGAGTAAAAGATGGAGGGAAAAATGTCAAAGTCACTGTTTTGCTGCATTCGATAAAGATGAATGGAAACTCATATCGAAGATTCAAAAACATTTGTATCATATCGAGACAAGGATCTCCGTAAAATAGTTCAAGACCAACTACAGAAATGCTGTGCTTCGCACCACATTAATTAAAGCGCCATTTTTTAAGACATTGAACTTTTCATTTGTTTTCTCTTCATAGAAAGTAAAAATTGAAAAGTAGAGCTTTGTCATGCTCTACGTTCTAAAATACTCTTCCAAACACAACAGAATTGAGTATATAGAATGAAGGTCCTTAGAGAATTTCGGATAACCAAATAAGCAATCTTCGACCGTTGTTTGTTGAATATTTCCTGACAATTTTATGCTACATGAATGTGTCTGGGACAAGATCAATTTTTGAGAGGAATTTAATATAGACACAAAGACAACAAAGCGAGGAAATCGATTGAGACGTACTGTAATATCTCTGAACTTGCATTTTTCTTTCTTTTTATTATTTCACAGTACAACAATTCAGAAATAAATTCATTGATTGATTGATAGTCTTCATTAGATTTTCGAATGAGGTCCTGATTTATTTCACTGCGAGAGTAAAAGGATATTTTTTTCGATTGATTATCTGTTCGATTCTTATGCAAATCAATAATAAATGACTACATGTAGAACTTTCTTGTTTTGTCGATTATATAGACACATGTCCACATAGGATGGTATGTTTGATTTATTCCATATTATTCTTCACATAAAATTGATAGTAAACGTTTTTTGAGTAGCATCAAACATAGCGGAAAATTAATTTATGTATGCTGAAAGGTATCAAAATTTTACAAATACTTTTGTTTTTATATTTCAAAACAAAAAAGTAACAATTAAGAGATATGTTCGTTGTTTCACTTTTATTATTCACTTTTCAGAAGATGTGGATGTCTCTCAATCCAATTCCAACTCGTCCATAGTTAACAAGTAAAATAGATTTTTCCATTTTCATTGGTTTCGAATTCTGTCCTGATTAATCTTTCAATTAATATTGATGCGTATAACATTGTCAAGTTGATAGTATATATGATACTCGTATCTTGTGAGATAACTGTCTACAAATTAAATTCACAAAACTATTCTAGCATTGATATAATGGTTTAATGAAAAGCTGATCGACCGAACTTCAAGCATGTGAAAGAGAAGAATTCGACAGTCTATCTGGTCATCAAATGTGGTCGAAACGAAAAAACTTCTTTTAAGAAGAAATAAAATCTATCTCACTATAGTTCTTCTTTTTCTTTGTTGATTTATGTTTGATTCCGCTTGCTACGAATGCATTTTATTGTTTTAATAATTTCTTTGCTCATTGTTGATTACTTTTTTTTGATTTATTTATTTGATACAATTCGATTATATAGTACATGTTGTTCATATTCAAAATATCTATATGGCAAATCAGATAAACACCTTCGTCTTAGTTGAAGGATGATAAGCTTTTTTTGTTTGTTTTATGTTTTCTACACTTTCAATTTTAGATGGTAAAGAATATGTTTGCTTTTATTCTTATTCATCATCTGTATTGGAATCTTTAGCATCAATATGACGACCATTATCCATCATAGGGACCACTAGAAAAGAATGAGGTTTAAAATATAAATCAATTTTATATATAACCTTGGATCATGAATATATTTTCACGAGAAAAAAAAATAATTATGTAAAAATAAAATTAGATTATTTAAGACGTCATCATCGAAAAGGTGAATAACAAATAACGAAGAAATCATGAATAGACTATCACAACGATTAAAAAAAGCTTCGTATTCTGTTATCATTTTTTCCTGGGTTGTTGTTGAGCAAGACGTTGATATTCAGCTTGGGTTAATTCAATATCAAGTTTAGAAATTGTATTCATTAAACTATCACGTTCACCACGTAAAACATTTATTTCTGTTTTACAGGTATTTAATTCAGAACGAAGTCGTTCATTTTCAAGACGAAATATTTCTAATTGTTGTAATTTTTCGTTTACATCATCATTAGAATTTGATTGTGGTAATGATGGAATGGTTTGCTTGTTATCATCTAAATTAAGAAATTCAACTTGGCTGATAAATTCTCAAGAAAAACAAATTTTTATAATAAGATTTAATACGAAGTTGCTAGAAAATAGTATGATTGGTACTGCTGTAAAAGTAAATCATTTTTAAATAAGACAAAACAGCTGTTGTAAGTACATTTCAACATTTTACTATAAATTCGATTACGAAATTCAAAAAGTAGTTTCGTATTTTTCAAGTCTAAATATCATATTTAATTATTTTGAAGCGAAAGATGAGAATGTGAGCTTTAAAACTGTCAACTACTTTTCATGCAAAATCGACTTTGCAAACAAGATAACATCAATATTGATTGAGAGGCAATCAAAAGATTAATGAAAGTCTTTTCTAATCTAGAAATACAAGGGTAATCGTACATCGTTTACCGATGACAACTCTGATAGTCTATACATGCACGTATGAACTACCAGTGAAGATGGTGAACACATGATAAAAATATCATGACTTGCATTGATTTCGACTTTTTAGGTCGGGAAAGTCATTTCAAGAAAATAGCTATATCTTACAAAAATAGACTAAAGAATTTTGAGGTCCAAGAATGTAAATCAGACCACTGTTGCATCTCTACTCTAATCAAAGTTCAATTCACAAGAGTGATGAAAAGCTTTTTTTGGTGAATTTTAATGATACATAAAAATATTCCAGGTTTCGCTACAAAAGTCAAACCTATCAAATTTTCAATACATGGATTATCTATTTAATGAATAATCTTCAGCGAGACTACTTGTTTCTTACCATTATCATTCGTTTTTCGAACAATTATTTTTCCATCCATTTGTCGAAAAATATGCATATATTCGATAATCATTTTTATTGGTGGTTTCGTTGCAATATGAGTTTGTGCTATTGAAAATTCATGAAGAGGCTTAAAGAAAAAGAGAAACTAATGACTAACAAGGAAACTTCAACAACTAATAAACCACTTCGGAGTCTATAGTATGTCCATTATATAGGTCGAAATGAGCTGTAAATATTTCGAAAAGAATTCATAGCCTTAGCTTACTTCGGCGTTATTTTTTAAATAAATACTATGGTAAAAGAAAAACTTATTTTCGAATCTTCATTTAATACTTTGCATAGAGACAGACCTTAAACAGAATAGTTTCAGGTGTCTTGATTTGCGTCTATCCTCAAATAAGAATATAAAATCTGCTAGTTTATATGAGTGCAACCTCTTTTCTAGGAGTTCATAGTCATTTAGGTCTACAGCATGCACATAGCCTTGACTTCAAGGTGATTTATAAGTTCGAGAGTTTTTCTCATAAGAAAAAAAAAATTGAAATATGCATACTTCAAGTGTTAAGTGTACATTATTTAAATGAATGTCAATTGGAACAATTTTAAGTGGTTGATTTTCTCTTAGGATTTTTTCTTCATTTGTAAGTATTTCTTCAAAATTTTGTGTAATTACATCTATAGCATGACTAGCAATTGTTAATGAACGATCTTGAATATGTAAAGTAACAATTGGGGGTGGTGATAATTCACTTTTAGGAAAATCAATACGAAGATTTATTGGTGAAACATTTTCATTATTATCTTCATCTATAAATAAGTGTAAAAAAATTGAATTTAAGAAAATAAATCAATCATACCTGGATTTTCATTTTCAAATAATGTTGGTTTAATGGTATCAAATTGTAACGAAGAAAATTCATCAATACGTAAATATTTTACATTACATGCAATATACATTTGTTTACCATTCTTTCCATTATCTTCTGTTATACAAACATTTATTAGATTTAACTTAACAAATACACCATTAACCTATAAAAAAAATAACAGAAAGAAAACAGTTTTTCTTTTCATTTTTATATGAAGCATACCGATTCTAATTCTTTCATTCCAATACAATTTTTTCCTTTTAAACTAATACTATCATCATCTAATTCAATACGTGTCACTTTTTGCTGTTGTTCTTCAAAATCATTATTAAATGCACTTGCTTCGAGATCAGCATCTAATTCTTCAGTCAGATCCCATTGAGATGACGTTTCATCACTATTATCACTCATATTCATTAAGGATGATATGGATGCACCTCGTGAACCTTTTGAAGCAATCTCTAATCCACGTTGAACATTTATTGCAAATTTAGATTTCTTTTGTCGAGGCGAGTCATGACTGTTATTTGGAATCGATTTTTCTATTTTTGTTGTACTAGCAATGATGGGTGTTGGTGTTGTTATTAAATCAATAACAACATTTGCTTCGGATGTATCACGCATGATAGGTTCAATATCAACTTCTGATAAACTTGGTGGAGTAGGTGTAGAATGATTAATTATTGGATCTTCAAGACCATCCATGACAGCAAGTGTAAATGTTGTTGGCATAGTTAAACAGATTGTTATTTTTATATCATCAGAAGAATTATTTAGTAGAAGTTTCTCTTTAATTAAATGAGTTTGATTTTTATGTCGTTCGAGTGTATCCAAAAAGAGACCTAATTCATCTACTAGATGCATAATAAATGTGTATTGTTTTTGTGAAATTTTTAATAGAGATGGATTTTCAAGGATACAAAGAATATTTAACCAAGAATCTAATCAATAGACAAAAAGAAGATTTTCTTAGAATTGAAAATTATTCATAATCTATTACCTTTTTCTATTGTATCCAGTACAATCCAACCTGTCATTGATAGAGTATCAATCATATTTTGTGTTGCTAGTCGAATCGATTCGGATGATGATGATGATGGTGTAAAATCCAAATAAATTTTTTCAACATTTAAACTCCAAATATCATATTTTGCAGACTATATAACGTAGAGAAAAAAATGATTAATTATATGAAATATTCCTCAAAAACCAATTCTAATCCTTTGGAAATAGATTTTCATTCATACCCTAAACTAAACTCTCTTTACGGGCACGGCTCCTTCTGAAGTTTCTTAACAGCAACATTTTTCGCAGGTATCGAACACTATTTTCGATAGGTAACTGTTTTTGTTGGTCTTCTTACATTGTCCACTCTTTCAACAAACAAGTCAAAATACCAAACATACCTTTAAAAAACACATTTGCTTTTTTGTACTAAAACAAATTTTGTGAGAGTTAGCAAAAAGCACTAGAGCAGTATTTTTTTTTCAATAAAAAAAAAAAAATGCACTGGCCAAATAATGGCTACTATATGTGAAAACAGTTCCAGCTCGACTCCTTTTACCGCGTCAGAAGAATAAGGTCGAAAATAACACTTGTTTTGTATGAAATTTGATTTGGAGAAAAACACAAAACAAAATTGAATCTAAGTTTTCTCCTCAATACTCATCTTTTTCGTAGAACATGATCTAAATGGAATGTTGAAGTATATGAGTAAAACTTTGAACCGTTTTCTTCTACAGACTGTGACAAACATTGTTAATGTATGATCAAAGACTGTAACATCTCATTATAATGAATGAACTATATCCTTATTGCATTTATGAAAGATTAAGCAAAAAGGATTGGGAAGAAATATGTCCAAAAATACATAAAATAAAGCAATCTCTTTATGATTACCAACAGGTTTCTCTTTTTATTTAAGGTTTTATAGGCCTTCAACAACTATGCATTCGACAAGCTCGTTATCTAGGTTCCGTGTGTACTCACTTTTTTCAATGAATCAGTCGTCATTGTATAATAAGTATGAAGTGCTGTACTAGCCGACGGTGCTTCTGGTAAAGTATTAGTCTTTTTACTTAATGGATTATCATATAAATATGTATCATATGGATGTTTTTCAAATAATGGACTAAGTCGTGTTGTTGTGTCTTTTGAAAAAGGCCATTGAGCTTGTTGAAAAAATTTTGTTTCTTTAAATAATTCTAAATGTGTCTCAAGTTTATAACGATTACTGGTTAATTCTGTTCGAGTATTTGTAATTATAATTTTTGAAATATTCATTTCAAGTATATCAAATAGTTGTTGATTTAATGTTTCATTCTGTTGTAATAATTTATCCGATTTAGAATTCTTATCTTGTATCGTTTCTTCTAATTTATGATTAGTAGAAAATACATCGGAACTTATAACAATCTAAAACTAAATTTGGAAACATAAACACAAATCAAAATTTGACATACTCTTGGTAACATGGCTTCTAATTTAATTGCTACATGTTCAAGATCAACAGTCGGTTTATCACTTTTTAATATACCAGAATTATCCTATTAAAAATAAAAGATAATTTTTCTTTTGCTAATTAATTTACTATCGTTATTGATAATGTCGAGACAAAAGCATCAAGCCAACTTAATGTAGAGAAATCAACACGAATAACAAGAGGCATTATTTGAATATATAAATCACTATTGGGTACTACAAAAAAATGACTATTTATACTTTTCTGGAATTATTTTTTGTTTGATTTTACCAGGAAATGAATAAGATAATGGATAATAATATTCCGTATGTTGAATATTAATAATACCTAAATTATCCGGTAAATGATAATATGTTTTATCAGATGATATTAATGGTCGACGACGTTTTTGTTGTTTATCAGTATTTAATGAAACAGGATAAAAAACAAGATCATCAATATTTATGACACTACATGATTCGAGTAAACGAATTTGCTTTGTACGAAAAGCTTTTTCGAATTTCATAGCTATAAATAATTTATAATAATTTGTTCTGTTTCTTACGTGAAAGTTGAAACTTACATGTTTCATCATTTGGTACAGAAGCTTTAGCAGTATTGAATTGTGCATGCCATTCTTCATGTAATTTAGCTATCCATTCAGTACGATTTATTGATTGACTTTCACTATATTTTATCCAATGTTTCTTTGATGATTCGGATTCATGATATGGATAAAGATCAATAGATAAATTTGCTACAGTCATTTGAAGTGAACCATTTTCAACTAGACGATCAACTAAAATAGAATAATGTCTTTGGTGAACGATTAAGAAAAACTGAAGTTCATTTTTCACAATACCATGAATATCTGAATCGGCAATCATATGTAAATCTAATCGTTTAACATTGAAATGTAATGATGTTTCAATAATATCGTATCGAGTAAATGCATCACTCGATTGTTGTTCACTTGTTGATGACTTTATTGGTTCATTCGCCTCGATTCTTGATGATTTAGGTTGATATGTTGGTGATTGTCGTTCTAATTTCTAAAAAAAAAAGTAAAAGTTTTATAACCAACTTTTTTTAAATAATTTGATTTCGTTCGTATATGTTTGATAATACACTAAAGAAAAAGTAAGTCGTTGTTTCGATGATTCTGCGCAAACAAAATTCTTGTGATTATAAAAAAAAAGAGCATTAGAAGACCACTTTCACATTAATCAATGACTTTAGAGAGACTTGTCAGTTTCTGTTTCGGATAAAGTAAAGCTAAAGATATCGATTTGTATTTTGAAATGTTATGTCTCTGTAAATCATTGTTCGATAAGTTCCATAGGCCTTTGTCTTTGTTCATGTCATTACACCTGTGCTTCACAAAGGGTTAACTCCAAAATTTTGTTTTGTGAGGTAGTATTGACAAAGAGTTGTTCATAAGTATTAATGGTAGCATCACAGGTGACTGAGCCTACGCCAAAATTTTTTTTGAAGTTTTTTATACAGTACTGAATAAAACTATTCCACATTCGTATCTTTTAGCCTGAAAAACATTATCTACTAAACTTGTTGTTGTTTGTTATTAAATACAAGGCTAATTCTTCATATTGTAACATGCAAATAAAACCCAGTCTATACTCTTATTTTTAGCCAAAAGATCAAGTAGTTTAATTGAAAATTGTAGTCTTTGCATGCCTCTGATTTCTCTGTATTTGAATGGCATTTTCATTTAGTGGAATATTTTTTCATGAAACTTCTACTGCATGCGGTAGATAATCGGAACAAACCACTAAATAATAAAGAATGAGCCGACCAACAAAGTTCTTCTTTTTTTAAAGACTTATAGACTTAAAATGATAAATAGATGCAATTCATCATAACTCTTGTTCTATTCAAACATGTAGGTTCTGCTCGTGTCTCAAACCCAGGTTTTTAGTGGAATATGATATAGGGACAGGAAAACATCTATCCACTACTGTACGTCAGATATGCTTGTTGATCAAGATGTGGATAGTTTTAAAGTGATTAAATCACTGAGACAAATGCACCAAACAAAAGGAATATGTGCTTAAAGTATGTCATGTTTTTCTATTTTTCACGAATTAAAAGTATATTGGATGCTTTAAAAGGCTCTATCATAAGTATTTTTCATGCGCTTAAAGTTTCTCTAGTGTTCTCAGCAACTTGTTGCAAATCTGTTTTTTATAAGAAACGAGATTTGTACACAAGATTGAGCACAAATCAGTCTACAAAACGAAGATCGTGACGATCTCAATCCGATATCGTTTTCAAGCATAGAGAACGTTAAATATAGTTGTTGATATGGAAGATTAGCTATCTGACATTGTTGCCATTATCATACATGACAAGTAGAATAAAAACATGTAGCTAGACGAACAGCACTTGTGATGTCGATGAATCATCTAGTCGTCACTGTTAATAATTATTTGCTTATATTTTCTGCAGGAATGATTCGACGAAGAAAAATTTGCATTACTTTTACTCATGTTGGAAAAAGAAAGAGGCATAGTGTGCCCAAAGAATAGCTCCTAGTATCACTGTTAATAAGTATGTTATCAACTACACCTTACACAGACTACCAGTCTTTGTCTTGTTGTAATTAAAAATTGCTCATGTGTTTTGTAATTGATATAGATGATCGTGCTTCTATTATATTATTTTAACTGTCATAAAAAAAGAACTTTCTTTTACAACTCTATAAGATCTAAATCTGTCTCTTAATAATTCTCGACAATCATATACGATGTTAAATCTTCGGTTTTCCCTGAATTCATTATAATTTCTTTTTTTCAAAATATTTCACATAAATTTCATTAAAATACATACAGTAAATTTATCTTCAGCGTAACGTTTTGTTTGTTCTGCTGCACGATTCATTAATTCTGTTATTTCTTTATAAGTATTTAATGCTGATTTTAATTGAGCATCATTAAGAACTGATAATAAATCATCAAAATGTATCATAACACGAGATGTTATCATTGTACTATCTACAAAAAAAAAAAAAAAAATTTCAGTTTTATTCATTTAACATAAAAAAAATAAAATAAACACCTTGAAGATTCTTTTTCATTGAAATCCTCATTCGGCATGAATTAACAATAAAACGTATCGATGTTCCTGAAGAATTATTATCATTTGATGATGCTTCTATACGTGCATTCGGCCAAGATATTTCCTTTCATATTCAAAAAAAAACACTCATTTATTTAAAAAAAAAGAACTTGTTTTACTTTAAATAGAAGAATATGACCTTTAGCAGTATTACGAACACGAGTTAAAGTCAATGTATCAACTTTTTGTCCATTGGGAGCTGTACTGTAAACGTCTAAAGATGGTAACTAAAATATAACAGAACGTTTCAATAGGATTAAAATGATATATCAACTTACAAAAATTGATGCTTTAAAACCTTGTGCTTTTATTGTGAATGTTAGGTTTGAAATTGTTAATGAAATTCCATCGATAGCTCGATTAGTAAAACCATATTTACCGTTTAATCTATACAAGATACATAAAAGACTTTTAAAAGGTTGAGCGAAATTCGTACGGATCATTGCCGCTTGGTGAATTATGTAAATCACGAAGTTTTTCACATGTTTCAATTTCAATAGTAACGTCATCTAATGACTATATAAATGATATAAATCATATTGAATAGTTTCTTAATTTTTTTCTTACTAATTGAATTGGTAAAGTTTTTAAATTTGTCCAAGGAATCTAAGGGAAAAGAAAAAAAACAGTTTCTTTTTTTGTTCGTTTGATGTTTTTCTACTTTGATAAAAGCTCGTCCACATGTTGCTTTTTGGATTTTAAGCCATGTTGGCAATTCAGTAACATCTTCTAATGCTCTTTCATCTAAATTTATTGATGATAATTCACCTTCACCTTTTATTGTACTTAGATGAATTTGATTCGCTGAAAGATTTTTCACAAACCTTTAAATAATTTAGTAAAATAAAACGAAATTTAAAAGAAATTCTTTATTTCACACTTTGATAGTCGTTTGATAATTTGATTTTTGATTAATGAAGTCATCGAATATTCTTTAATAAACCTAATCAATACGCAAATGTCATTACTATTATTATTATTATTATTATTATACTATTATTATCATTATCTCTCTAGTTTTTAAAAAATATATATTTAATCTATCAAATCAAGGTAAAATTAGATAGATGTCACTCGGATGTATAAAAAAAAAAGATTTTCTTTATATTAACACAGGATAGGTAAGTGAATAGAAGTAAATGAGAGTGTTTATTTTTTGAATGTTTTAGTTTTGATTCGTTAGTTGTAAATATGATTTCAGCTATTCACGGTTTCATTTTTTGTAGTTAAAACATGTTGAACAGATTCTTTTATTTTTTCTTGTTTACTTCCATCTGTTTTGTCAGAAGTTCGTTGTATAATTTCAATTATTTGTTGTAAGAGACGATTTGTTTGTGCAAAATTTGTATTCATAACATGACTAAGACTTTTTTCCAATGAACAATAAGGTACTTGAAGTTCGTAAGATGAACCATAGATTAATCGAACATATAATGGAAGAAATTGTTCTATATTTGATTTTGAATGATTGCATGCAGATAATGATTTACATCGAAGTGTAATCAATTCTGATACAGTATATGGTGTACGCATAATATTATATGGCTGATCAATATTAAATGAACAATCAGGATTATTCTCTCTACCTTTAAAATTCCAGCCAATATGTATATATGTTATGTTTAATAATGAAAGACTGCAATTAATATAATTACATTGAATAGCCATATTTCGTAAAATATATGGTTCAACATGACGTGAATCAAAATGAAGTTGAAAACCATATTCATAATCATTGTTTGTTGTATTATATAAACATTGATTTATTGTTTCATTATTCAAAAATAATTGAATTTCATCAGTATAAAAATATTGACATGGATAACGTCTATATTGAAATATATGATGATCATAATCAAATAGTCGAACAGTTATTATGTAAGCAAGTGCAGGACTATCCGACCATTCAAATACTTTCATGGGATCAATTGATAAATTATAACTCGGATAGAGATCGCCAGCATTTGAACTCAATATAAGATTGAGAACAATGAAAACAATTGTGCCAAATTGCATTGATATTGAAAAAATTGTTATTTGTACTTAACTTTTCATAACAAATAGAACAACGTAGCATTTTTATATATCACTAACTAATGACCTATACCAACATATGTTGACTGTTGATTTCGGAAAAAAATAATAATATGCCAACAATTGGACTGTATAATTACTATCCTTGTAGCAAATGTTTCATATCAAAAGGACATAAGTCACATTAGAAAACCTTTTTTGCCCCGTCTTCTATGAGATTGCGCAGTTAATAGAGAAAACAAAAAATAAAAATCAAACAATTATATATATTTGTTTTCTTTTTTCGTACATACGCAGGACACAAAACCAAAATCAACATTTTCCTAATCTAATATAAAAAACAGACAATTTTATAAAAACAGTCTCATCATCTTCACTACCATCCAAAAGAGAGAAAAAAAGAATATCAATGACGCAAAAAACGAGTCACAGACGTACGCAAAAGAAAACAAGAAAGTTCTACTCAACAATGAGTATTCCATATAGATATATATGTATATATATGTAATCGAAAAAATGAAACTTTCATATTCATTCATCAATATGATGTGTAAATGACTTGTTTAAACAAAAAAAGATGTTTAATTTTCTGGTGGAGATTCCATATATCGAAGATCATATCGAATATTTGATGAACGGTATTGATTTGGTTGTGAAGAAAATGAAAGACAGGAACGAAATGTTAATCCACGTGTTCGTCGTCCACCACCGACTCTTTCATTAGCACCTGCAAATTTATCAAATTGTTTTGTTTCGAAACGATATTGTCTATATTCTTCTTCATAGTCAATATCATTCATCATTCGATATTGATTTGGTATACAGAATTGCTAATAAAAAAGAAAAAGTATTAGTGTTTATTATACCAAAACTAACACAACGACAAAATCTTACATTAGAATATTCATAAAAAGCTTTATAGCCACCTTCAAGTAAATAAATTTCTGGATAATGTAATTGTGGATAAATTCTTTCATGTATATTACGATCTTCTGATCGAAAAAATCGCAATCTATCAATTAAAATCTTCTTATTACTCTATCAAACAAAAATTTTCAATAATTCACTTACAATGATGGAGCTCTTTCGGATGAAAATTCACAATGAAAAATAAAAATATTTCTTTTCCATGAATCTTTTAATTCTAATGGTTTATGAAAATATTCATTATAAATTTGTGACCGTGTATAAAGATTTTTTGCTGATTGAATATGACCACCATCATATTCATATGGATAACGACAATCAATAATATGTAGACTTTCAATTTCAGATGCGTAAACATTTTGTAATACATCAACCATCTAGAAAATATAATCATATATCAATAGATCTATATGATTTTCTTACTGTTTCAGGACTAATACAAGCAAGATCTGGATGTTTACGACTTTTACATCTTGGTAAAAGATAAGAACGTGTACGATCACCAATTAAATCTCGATTAGAACCTAGTTCAACGGATGCTTTTATTTGTTCTTCATTTGGTTCAGTGAAACTTCGAGTTAACTAGCAAAAAAAAACAAATTGCAATAAAAATTAATTGAAATCATCGTTAAGAAATTTTCAAATACATACACCAACACCACGCCGAGATCGTTTAATAAATAAATTGTTTTCTTTATCATTTTCCTCAAAGATTTTACTGCGTTTTATTGAACGACAATTTTCACTGTTTTCATCGTCATCATAACTTCGTTTCTGTAAACGAAAAAAATATTCGACGTTGTTCTTTTATTTACAAAAAAAAAACGTTCTTACATGTGTGTTTAAGTTTTCTTCTGTTGTAATAACCGTTAAAACTGGCATATTTTTTTCATTATCCGATAAACAAAGAGGTAATGGTTTGCATCGTCGCTGTCGATTACGAACAGGATTTGGTGTCACTGTCGAAAGAGTTTTATCGAATAAATTCACAAGATGATCCGAGTGAGAATCCTACGCAAAATTTTTTTTCTTTAGAAATGAATAAAATTTCATATAAGACAACAAACTGATGATGATGATTGAGATCGAGTTTGCATTGAATGACATGATTCATTTGAACGAATTTTTTTATTTTGATTAATTATAGCTAATGATTGACGTTTATGCAAACGTAACGATGTCGGTCGAGCAAGCATATTAAAGCCATAATGTTCTAGTTTCGAACGTGTTACAATACTTGTTGTCATTTCTGACTTTGTCGACAACCTGTTTTAAGAAGAAAAGAAAATTTTTTTGATAAAAACGATTAGATAAAAAATTCTAAAAAGATTTATGCTCTTATTAACATATGAGTAAGCTATCGAATTTTGATCCGAAACTTTGTGTATATCGAAACTGTAACTAGAGTAATTTTCATATAAAAATCCAGACACTATGAATAAAGTCGCTTCAAAAGATGCACATTGTAAACAGTACCCATGGAAAAGGACCTATATCTTGAAAGTTTCCTATGTCGAGGAGGCTTGGTCAAAGGTTCAGATCAACATATGTAAACTTAGTTAAATCTCAATACCATTGAGGATTTTCCTTAGAAAACTATTTAGAATCTGTAGGCATCAAAATAATTGAACTCAAAAATACATATCTGAGAAGGTTTCCTGGTTAGCTTAATAAAATCAAATTATCATTTTTGTTCTCTATTTACTAATGGTAGGAAAGCACTTATTCATTTACCTTGAGGGAAGAGGGAATACGTGATGTCATTTGTAGCATGAAAGTTGACACTTGTCTATAATTGTATGAGAGGGTACGAGAAAAAAATGAGGGTAAGATCGTTGCACTTGAATGAGAGAAGAGAAAAAAAAAAATTTCAAAAAAACATGTCAACGGTCGAACACACACTCTACACTTGAGTGCCATTGAATTGTCAGTCATAAATCAAGTAGAACGAAATCTATCGCCGCTCATGTGAAGCTAACCATGGTATGCAGTCAACAAAAAAAGAAGAGAACACTCACTGTTCATCATGAATAATCGAATGATGTTCTTGTCGCAGGATATGCACTAAAGCGAAAAATTTCTATTTTTTTTCATTAAGAAAATAGATAAATGATTTTTACCTGATGATACCGATTGTGGACTATCGTCTGCTTCATCATCACTTGAAGAAAAAACAAGTTTACGTCGAGGTGTTCGTCTAAAGAAAAAGAATCTTTTAGATTTCAATGCAACTTTTACAATGTGAATATAAATGTTTGTCTTGTTTTTTTCGATTATGAATCTAAGCATATCTTACCGTAACATAAATCGACAACTTAGAGGAGATGTTGTCTTACTCATATTGAGCCAATGTTGAATATCAAATAAAGTATTCATATATATATATATGTATATATATAGATAACTGATAACTCTCTTAAGATAATAGTCACCACAACATAGAGAAGAAAACGAAAGATGTTATATGCATTTCATCAAGATGAAACTGGGACGACCATTGAACTAGAGAATTCTTTTTTCTTCTTCTCGTTCAGATTGATGAAAAAATATTTGCTTCTCTTCTCTTTACTTTTTGCTTACGCTCTCTCAACGTTTGTCGAGCTTAACGAATTTTTTGAACGTGTGTTCAATAAACATATAGACACCAACGAACAGGACACAGCAAGAGAACAGGAAGGGAGAAAATGGGTGGGAGACGAGATCGATGCAATGACGGATAACATCCTTTCAACACTTTTTTCCTCCCGGGAAAGAGTTCGTTGGAAAAGAAATAACAAAAAAAGCGAAAGAGAACGTTAGGATACGAATTTCAACGTTGTTTTCATTTGCACTTTAATGTAGATTTAATCACATCTAACGCTATCAAAGAGAGGAATACGAAAGATTGTTCATATAGAAAGGAATAAAAGAACAAAAAGTTAGTTTATATTATAGACTGAATAAATGCATTCATTCAAGAAATTTATAATTATATCATGTCAAAATTGAACAATCTGTTCGAGAAGATGGATGTGTGAGAAAAAAAAGAAGACAGGTGATGAAATTAATATTGTTTTGACAATTTTCATCAAACGACTGGAGAGAATTTCTATTGAAAAAGAATTTATCTCTTCATCTAAGTTCTGCACCTAAAAGTTAGGCCTTCATCGAAATTGGATTATTAATATTATGTTTACCTGTGCTTACGGAAATTCAGAGAAGGGTGTCCTCCCTTTCATGAACCAAAATATTTGTTTTTTTGTGGCTATTGTATAGTCTGAATTAATATCTGTCTACTGAAAACATGTTTTGGGATCTAAAAATTGTCTTGAAATGTTAATAAATCAAATTCGTGTAAATTTCATATTGTTTCCTGTTTTCGTTTAGAATCAGTTTTTTGAATAGAGTAATTCAAGTCTCCTTTATTTTTTTTCTACCCAAAACTTTGATCGATTGAGTTGAAACTTTTCTCCAACAACAATGAGCAAAATTAGGTGGACATTTTTGTGCTTCGAAAGAAAATATTTAACTACAAAACATAAAATTTGACTGTCTGCAAGGGAACAGGGTCGTAAGTCATTGTTGTCCATAGCGTTCTCTGTATCTCATAGATGAAAGGATTCGGATAATCTACCTTTATGACAATTTTTACTTTACTTGTCGAGAATCATCTATCCTGAAAGTTTCAGTTTTTGGTCAAATCATTCTTGAGCAACTAGGGACGAGTAAGGAAATTTCCTTATAGTATATTTATTATAACATTCATAGTAGTGGAAGGTAGAATAATAGTGTCTTAATGTAATACCGGTATAATTTTATTTTCTGTAAGAGACGATAGTCCTTTTAAATAGTTCTCGAAGAAACATTTTTTCATATAATGATTTTTTAAGTAATTAAGTACCAAAGTGAATAACTCCACTATACAATGTTATTCAACATGATGTGTCTGTTAGATAGACTTGTTATTTCTAGAATTTCTTCCTTAATTAGATCTATGATCTTTGATTCTCATCATTATAATGAATAATATATTCTTTATTTACCTGTCACTGAAGGTAATTCTTGATGTTTGCATT